TTGTTGAACATTAAAACTGCAAATTCTTGGAAAACCATAGTTCCATTTTTATTTTCATAGGAAAAAATCTAATTTTTGTTTCCATGAAAGACAAATTGTAGTCATACATGATTTAACTTTCCAAAACTGTTTATTTCTTATTCTTTTTCAACATAAAACTAATAAAAATAGATGCCTGCATGCTTATACTATAAGCTAAACAATTCCAAAACAACCAACCACTTTGCTTGGAAATTATTACTATCCTCCCTTGTAAAAAAAAAATCAAATGTTGATGAACAGTACCTGTCCTGTAGATCATAGATTCCCCACCCTCGGACCGCAGAACGGTACCAGACTGCGGATCACCAGGAATTGGGCCAGACAAACAAGTGAAGCCCCATCCGCACATGCATGGGATCCAGGCAGTGTACAGAACCATGCTTCCCAAGGTCTGTGGAAAAACCGCCCCCCACAGAACCGGTCCCTGGCGCCCAAAAGGTTGGAGCCCATTGCTGTACATACATTGTCAGAAGTGATGTTGAGTCATAAAATCAGATACCCAAAAATATACAATATAGAAATTAGTATTTCACATTGTTAAAATGTTGCTTTTGGTCTGCTACGTGAATGGCTGAGAAAAGCAAATTGAATGTACAGTATTTTTGCTGTTTATCAATAAGAAACTGAGTTTGAAATATGCAGACAGTCTCTCAGAACTCTAGTACTATGGCTTGGCCCGTAAGATGAAAAGCTGGAAATCTCAAGTATCCTCTCCCTTAAGCCCTATGTTATATACCATGGGTGGACAACCTTTTGGCTTGCCTTGCATGAAGAGGAGTTGTCTTGGGCAGCATATAAAATATATAGTTTTATAATATAAAATCACATAATAATCTTGTGGGTGGCATTTACTAGCTTCCAGGGTTGCATGTGAAGCTTGGACCGCAGATTGGACATGCCTGGAATACACACTCTGACTCTCCCTTTCTATCTGCATATAGCAGTTTGGTGGACCTCTCCCTAACCCTAGTCTAAAAGCCCTTTTAACAACAGGTGCTGTTATTCTGATGAGAGATAAAATTAGGGGGAAAATGAGATAATTTCAACAGAACCACTTCCCAACAAGAAGCTTCAGCTCTTTCACTCACTCTTTTGGGGAGACACAACAATTCATAAAAGTGACAAAAAGGAAAAAAAGATCATATAAAACATCAAATTTTAACTTCAAATTCTAACATACAACAACACACCTTCATGAGGAGAAGGATGGATTAAAGGTGGATCAAGGGTCTTGATGAAACAGCTGTTTTCAGACTAAACATTTGCAGCCAAATCACCAAGCTCAGAGATCAAACCAACAGCCCCACAACTGTTTTCAATTGAGACAATCAAAGATGCAGCACTGCAGTTAGACCACAAGATGGTACTGGTCAGCAACAAACTGCTAATTTACTATATAGCTCACATATAGTCCTCCAAACTTATCAAGGAAACATTACGACAGACTATAAAACTGAATTCATCCCAAGTACTGTATATAACAATTTCTCTGCTAAGAAATGTGATTAGGAAACTGGAAGTAAATACAGAGCAAATGCTTGATGTTATTGTTTTATATATGCTTTTTATTTTTAAAATAAAAGCTATTTATCTAGTCACATTCGTAAATATGTTACAATTAACTACTGAGTATGATAATATGTTTCTGGAGAGAGAAGATTCTTTGCTGGGTGTTGTACTATGTCTGACAGATATTTGTATGATAGTAATAATTATGTAATTATATATTTTACGGGTGGAAACTAACCAAAGAGAGAAGCAACCTAGAACTAAGGAGAAACTTCCTGACAGTTAGAACAATTAACCAATGGAACAACCTGCCTCTAGAAGCGGTGAATGCTCCAACACTGGAAGTTTTTAAGAAGAAACTGGAGGGCCTTCTCTGTGATGGCGCCCACGCTTTGGAACCAGCTCCCCCCGGAGATTAGGACCGCTCCCACCCTGTTGGTCTTCCGTAAGCTACTTAAGACCTGGCTTTTCCGGCAGGCCTGGGGTTTATAAAACCTGACCCCTGGATGATTGTCTTTGTCCTGTTGTCCTGTTATGTTTTATATGTTTTTTATTGTTAGCCGCCCAGAGTCCTTCGGGAGTGGGGTGGCTTATAAATTTTATAAATAAATAAATAAATAAATAAATAAATGGTATAGGGTTTCCTGCCTGAGCAGGGGGTTGGACTAGATGACCTCCAAGGTCCCTTCCAACTTTATCATTATTATTATTATTATTATTATTATTTTGACCAAACCAATAATAAAAAGGTAATAACATATTCAAAATACAAAATACATAGAAGCAATATGATTTCTTTGTAAAATATACAACAGTGTTCACACTATAAAAGCAATTCAAAAGACTTGAAATAAGCAGAAGCCAAATACAACTCCTAAGAAAGCACAGTCCACTATTTAGGAATGACACATCATAGTCTCTTAGATAATAAAGAACAGATTTGGTCCGTCACATTTCCAGAGTCACACAATATAGTTTCACAATGGAAACTATAATGGAAAAAAAAAAGAAAATAACAGTTGAAATTTTGCACAGCCCAAGTGAAGTAACAGATCAAGAATATTAAGTTATTTGTCTCATTCTCTCTTTCTTACAGCTCCAGTAGGATTTCTCTTATCAGCATTGTTAGTGATTTCTTACAGTCTACTTTTACCAACTGTTTCCAATTCCAATTTCCAATTCATGTCTTCCAAAAAAGCACTCCTAGGAAAACTACTGGGGAATATATTGCAGATTAAACTAGTTTTAGTAAAATAAACATATTTTGATTGTTTAAATTACTACTAACATTTTTTATTATATGCTCTACCTTCTGAAGCCTACAACAATGAACAAAAGAATACAATCTTTAATTTAAAAAACATGACAATAACTAAATCCTGTAGAAGACAATAACAATGCAAAAAAATAATCAAGTTTATTTTAAGAAATCTGTCTAAAAGACAATCTCCTTCTTGAGCAGCTATTTTCTTACAAATACCCGAGTGCTCTTTAAACAACTACAGGCTTTGTATCCTGCAACTGATTACTATATCCCAATAATTCAACAATAAACACTTGTCATGGCCTTGGACTATTAGCATGCTTGCTCAGCACTATTCCCACTTTCTGTTTCATATCATAACATAGAGCTTCACTCATAGCCTGAAGCTACTGTATGGCATAATCTTTTGCATAAATACAGTATATTCTAAGAAAAGATATCTAGGTTTTCTAGGTATGGATCCAGGTAACCCACTTCCTCCAGAGCCTTTTGTAGCTGCAGACCTACCACCTTCTCAATAACCTTTTACACCCCTCTTCCACTTTGGGGAAAGGGTGGAAATTGGAGCCTCTTCCAATCCCCATAGGTAATCCAGAGGTATATTAGGTCAGTGATAATGAACACCACTGGATGATATAGGAGGCCAGGATAGTTGCACCACCATCATTCTCACTTCATTAGAGGTCACTGACAAGCATGAGCGATTTTGCATCAGTATTATATCCCAGACTGAAACCTAACTGATAATGCAGACAATTCATTTCCTCCAGGGTCCTCTGAGCCACAGCCTGACCACCTTTAAACAAAGGAAGTTTGAAGATTGACAAAAAAAATTGTCCAGGCATGGCCTCTTGAGGAGAGGGCAGACAATCACCTTTAAAGTAGGTGGAAACTCCCTTTCAGCAAGGAAGCATTTACTATAACTTCAATATAGCTGGGTGTTCTCAGGAGCCCTTAATCAGCCAGGAAGGACATTGATCTAATACACTGATACCAGAGCTTACAGTCCCAAGGATTCTATTCCACCTTTTCAAAAGCCACCCAATCAAACTGAGCCCAGATAACCAGACAAAACAAAGGACCATTCATCTTCCTAGGACCAGAACAGCTAGAAGTCAATGTTGAGTGAATCCTAAAACAATTTTTCAACAGATGCTTTCACAGTGGCCCTAGAAAGGTTTATCTAATCACTTCCTTATCCAGAAAGGAACAGATCGCCTGAAACAAGATCACCAGGAGACTATCAAAGAAATAGGCATGTTTCACCAACCCTTATTACTACCAGTTAGTCCTTAATAAAGGTTCTTACTTTATCTAGTCAGAACCATTCATCTTCCACCAGAGACAATATAGGCATCTTTTATGAAACTTCATCTCCCAGAGTTCCTCTGAGAACCAGAGGGACATCTGGGCTCCAACCACATAGAGAGTTTGCATAGGCATGACCTAATCTAAGGATGCTGTCTCTTGTTCATTCTAAGCAGTGACTAAGACCTCGATTGAAGCATAGACCAGAGCTTCAGGACTTATCCCAAGTTTCCTCTGGAACTCTGTCAGGTCTATCAGGCAGTTAGGATAGACTAACTGAATAGGTTGTTCCTCTTCTTGCAGCAGGGGCAATCTGATAAGCTCCAAAGCTAGCAGGAAATGTTCCATCAGTTATTTTACAATTCAGTGATACCTTTATTTTACAATAAAGTTTGTATGCAAATTTCCATAGCAATTTATGTCATTAGCAATATGCCATCATTACACAAATTTGTCATTTCTATAATGAAAATGAAAATTTGAATGAAAAATTGTCATTTATATAAATCATGAAATTGATATAAATTGACATAATTTGCATCAATGCTCATAATGTTGTTCTCATACAATTGACAGAAAATTGTTCTGATGAATGAACAATTAGAATAACAGATAACCTTCTTTACCAACTGGTCTTTTAAATCAAGATTTCACATTTATTACTTTTTTCCAAGTTGACTTTACATACACTAAGCACTCAGAAAACAAACACATTTTAAATATCCAGGGTTTTTTTTTACCCACAAATCCTAAACTATTTCAAAAGTACAGTCATTTTTAGGGTATACTGTTATCTATACTTTTTATCTTACAAATGCAATGTTTTTAAAATACTTTTTAATATGAGAAACAAGAACTATAGCAAATCATGTCATACCTTCATCTACAGAGGCTTCACTACTATACCCATCATACTCTGCAGACAAAGGACTATATTTTTGTCTGGTTTCCCAAAGATAATTTTTCTGTTGTCTACTGTCGCCTGCTGGTGGCCATGAATTTTGTGTTCTTGACAAGGCTTCATGGTATTTGCCCAATGCCTCATCTTCACTCTCCGATGATGAACCATGCTGGTCTTTATTTCTATATAAGTTATCTATTTTGGGAAAAGAGAAAAAAATTAACAGATGGTGATATATGTGTTATATTTGGCTAAACACTGAGTAGCTTAAATATCAAAATAACCAGACAATCAACATAAATGTATTCATTTATTAGTTTTATTAATGCTTCAGAAAGCCCAAAACTTCTAATGGAGAAATAATCAGGTTCTTAAGGAATATCAGGGTTATCTCTGGGTTGTTTTCTAGCTTTTTGATATCATTTAATTCCTCCATTTGCATTTTATTTTGTCCCATCCCAATATTTTACTGAATTTCTCACTTTTCTTTCTAGAAAGGGTATCAGATTTATAAATAACATTGAAATAAGTAGTTTACATTATTCTGTCTATTGGATACATATCTTTATTAAGAAAACCTGTTTACAGTTGTTGTTTTTTGAGCAGAAAACCTTAGTAGGATCAGATCTTATTAATATTTGAAAAGAAGATCACAAGAAAATTCCAAGGCTGCAAACTAGTTTGGGAAATCAAAAAATACAGTGAAAGAAAACAATAAGAAACTAGTTCTACAATGTTGCTATGCAGACTAATGGATGATTCCAGGAAGTCATAAGGAGTTGTATGTTTAAAGCAAATCTTCTTCTTACCAAGCAGGAGAAGAACTGCATTATGACTTCATAATTTCTATGCAGGTGATTCTCTTTTACTATTATTTCTGAGAGATTCATAGAGGTAGTTCTTGAATTACAACCATTTGTTCAGCGATTGTTCAAAGTTAAAGCGGCTCTGCACTAATGGTACTTATACCTGGTCCCCAAAGTTATGCTGTTGTAGCACCACTGTTGGCACATGATCAAAATTCAAGCCATTGTAGTCTGCTCACACTTATGATGGCACAGAGGCTTCTACTCCCCACACCCACCTAATTCACCCCATTTCTGGCTTTTTGCCTCCCTGCACTCCACCACCCCTGCCTCCTTGCATTCCATTGCTCCAGCTGACCAAGCATATCCAGCCTGGTTCTTCATGAGGCAGCAGCTGGCCATGTGAGGCCTTCTTCCCATGCTCACATGTTGCAGCTTCTTCATGAGACCAGAAAGAAGGGCTCACGTGGCCAGCAATTCATGAACTGGGCATGCTTTGTCAACTATGGAAAGTATTATTTTTATTCAATACAATACATACAAAGATCAAGGAAAAACAGAGGAAAAATGTGGAAAAAGTTTAATAGCTGGTATTTAAATAGCAATGTTTAGTACAGAAAAATGTTTTGAAATCTTAGAGGTATGAGGGTGAAGATTTGTTCTTCGAGCTTGTGGGAGAACGAATCTTCACCCTCATCCTATACCTGAGTTACAGATATTCACCACTATTGCAAATCTTAGAGGTATGTCAGTAAATTGTGCAAATCAACATTCAGAAATTGTGTACAATGTTAGCAAGAATATACGGCAATTTAGGTAATCTTTTTTCACTGACTCTCTGAACCTCTGTTGTTGCCTGAAAACCTCTCAAAAGGATTTGAAACTGGGGGTGTATATTACTTTGGATTTGAATACAAAATATTTTTGGAATACCTGGGAACATAAACAGAGTAACTATCTACCATTCCTTAAACAAAATGCATCTTCTTTTGGAGGCTGTACAGCATCTTTTTCTACAAAAACATAGCTTATTTTGAGGAGTGGCAGCAGACAGATATTAAATTTGTGCTGCTGCATACTCTGAAGGAGCTTTTTGCCTTCAAATCCAAATATTACACAGTCTTATTAGAGAGCCCTTCTGAGCCACAGAGACAAAATTGGAAGTGGTGAAAGAAGAGAAGGAGCCATTTTATGAATTGTACTTTTGTTCATAAAAATAGAGCTACAGTTCTAGAAAAATACACGTATCATAAAAAGAATTGTTTTATAGATAAATGAATTTCATAAAACAGCTAAGAAGAATGTAGTAAAAGATCTGGAAAGGCTGAATGTATTAAATATGGCTATGATATGACACCTCACCTTTTTCTGGTGTCTTCTTACTACTCACTTCTTTTAAAAAACTTTCTGAGTACTTATTCTTTTCCTTTTCATTTTTCTTTGAAAAATCAGATGTTACATTTTCTTCTTGCTTTGTCACAAGTGTCTTGTATTTGTTTCCTTTAACTTCGTGAAAACGGTTTAGTTTTTCAGATCTTGAGTCTGACAGTTCTAGTGTTTGCTCCTCAGTTTCTTTAGGTACTTCTTTAGTGTTTTTCAAGTCAAGTTCTGTTGGGTTTTGTTTTATTTTTTCACACATACTTTCATCAGATTGATTTGATACAGTATGTGACTGTCTACCTGGTTCATGTTTAAGAAATTCCCCTGGCTTATAAGTACCGTAATTTTCTCTACAGTCTTTTGATATATGTTTTTCTAAGTAGTTAATTTTGCACTGAGCATGTTGTATATGTGACTCACACATTTTTGTCTCAATAAAAATTTTATTTGGTTCAGGAACATTTTGCTGAGAATCTACTTTGCCATTATCAGGACAAAGCCCCCTACCATCATCTGTACATATTTTTGAAGAAGCACTTTGCCTGTGTTTTTCTTCTGATGCACATTCTTCTCTCACAAAATTTTCTTTAACATTATTTAGTGATGTCACTTTTTTATCTTTGTCTGGCAGAAGTTTACCTTCTTGCACTGTACTAGTTGTGCTTTCTGTCTGAAAACTGCTCAACATGCTTGTTACCTGCTCTGTAATAGAGTCAGCTACTGTGTAGCTGACATCACCAACAGCACTAGTAAAATCATCTACAGCATTACTTAATGTGTCAACCAGCGAAGACACAGAAGGAACTCTGAGATTTTGTTGCAAATGTTTGAAAAATGACATATTTCAATTGTATATTAATAAATTAATATGTTACAAAAAATCACAATATTGTGAATGTGTCACTCCAGCAATTTATTTATCTTTAACTAAAGGGCAATTAACATTAGTCTTCTGATTTGATTATCTTGAAAGTAATAAATAGGAAAAGATATTTTCTTTATGAAGCCAGAATCAATCCTTTTCTAGCATGTTTACAATATTATAGTAAAACATGAACTACTTATAACCAGATATTTAAAATACTGAACAGCAGGTGCTGGATTTTATTCTACACCTGCAAAGGAAAAGTTTAAATATTTAAAAAATATACCAAAATGAATATGCTTTGGGCTAGTACAAAACAATAACTAATAACATGCATTCCCTGCCTTTTTCTAGTATAAAGAACGTATAAAGTATGCCCTAACATAACTTTATTCCAGACTGCAAACATTCCAGAGGCTTGGATATGATCTAAAAAAAATATAAACATAAAAGCCTAACTTAAATTAATGGGGTTTATCTAATTTCTGGTTGCACTCAATGTAGATAAAAGGTAAAACCCATCCACCCTACTCATCAGTTAGATGTAGTGTTTTGAGACACTGCAGCAACATCCAGGTCAGGGCTAAGATGATGCACTCAGTAGTCCAAATGACCAATGTATCAGAAAGGAAATAATTCAATAACTAATCTTAGCTTCAGCTGGATAGTCTCTTCCACCTCTAGCTTTCTTTATATGGAGGAATCTATAAGAACATTCTCCCATATATCTGGGAAAATACATTTGTTTTGCTATATTTTAGTATGATGGTATAATTTATTAATTGTATTTAGGAGAGTGTTTTTTTCAGAAAAGGTTTTAAAAATTCAACACTTCAACTAAATGAAATAATTTCTCTAAATAAATAATTATGACCAAGCACTACAGACACATTAATAAAAATATTGAGTTTACCAGTTATGTTTTTATTTCAACCAAACTTTCATTTCATGATACATTACTGCCCTAGAAGTTCTCTACGTCTTTCAAAATCATATGTTGCAGAATTTTATACTTACGCAGTTTGTCCTGTGAATTTTTTCGGGAACTGTAATGGGAATTAAGGTCTGGAAGACCTCCAATATTTTCAAAACACATCTTCTTGTTAATATACAGAAATAGAATCAACAGCAAGATGATAAGTACCCCAACTGCTGATAGAAATCCAACTGCCTCAGGAGATACTAGAAGAAACAAAACCATAATCAGAGTGCAAGACCAACATAATTTATAATAATCAGATTATCATATCTTACCCTAAATTATATGCAAGTACATAATAAGTAGTCCTCAACTTATGATCATAACTGAACCCACGATTTTGGTCATAAGTCATGATGGTCATGACTTATGTGACCCTGCTCAATTTTATAATCTTTTGCAGTGATCGTTAAGTAAACACCATGATTGTTAAGTGAATCTATTGATCATTATTGGGCAATTTTGTCAGAAATCAGAAATAAATGCCAGTTTCCACCAAAACTGTCATGCAGGTAGTCCTCAATTACTGTTTAAATTACAGTGGTGCTTACAATCATTGCTTGAAATTATGACAATGCAGTGCCCCTGAAGCCACGTGATTGCGATCTGGGCTCTTGGCTTGTCGTTGAGCACTTTCAATAGATTGTTAAGCCTCTGTGAAAATGTGATTGGTATTTGCAATCTTCCCTTCTGGCTTCTGGTCAACTGGGAAACCAGCAGGGAAGATTGCAAGTTGCTTTGTTTTTACAGCATAGTGCACCAGCTCCCCTTCCTGCTGCGGGCTAGAAAGTGCAGGGAGGATAGGGCAATGTTGCTGCCAAAAAATGAAACTCTCCTAGTATCATTTATACCAGTGGTTCTCAACCTTTTTAATGCCGCGAACCCCAACCGGTCGTAACTCGAGGACTACTCAACCGGTCGTAAGTCGAGGACTACTCAACTGGTGCAGCACCGTTTGCAGAATGGGACTTTTGGCGGGCTCAGCAGGACAGAGACAATTCCTATTGGCTTTTGAAAGCCAATAGAATTAGACTCTATTCAAGAGAGTCTATTCTATTGGCTTTCAAAAGCCAATAGAATAAAAGGGAGTAGCACAGCCAAGGAAAAGGGAAAAAAAATGGCGGACTGTGTTGTTTGGCGACCCCCGTGAAATGGTCGTTTGACCCCAAATGGGGTCCCGACCCACAGGTTGAGAACCACTGATTTATACAGTGCATCATACTAGCTTCCTGCCCTGGAAAGAAAGAAAGAAAGAAAGAAAGAAAGAAAGAAAGAAAGAAAGAAAGAAAGAAGGAAGGAAGGAAGGAAGGAAGGAAGGAAGGAAGGAAGGAAGGAAGGAAGGAAGGAAGGAAGGAAAGAAAGAAGAAAGAAAGGAGAGCCACCACGCTGAGCTAGAGAAAGGAAGCTCAAATCGTGAGCCCAAGCTTCCTTTCTCCAGCCCAGTGCACAGGTTCTGGGCCTGGAAGGGAGCTGCCTGTTTTCTTTCAGAAGGCAGTTCTTTGGTCCATTCTTTTAGCAACTACATCTGGGAAGGGTGGGACAGCAGTAACTGAGCAAGGCCACCACATGGACACCTCACTTCATGACTTCAATGACCTACAATTGTAATGGGCAGGCTCCATTACAGTACCAAGTCTAGGACTACCTATAAATCATGGTCACATGACTGCAGGACACTGAAAGCAGCCGTAAATATGGGTCAGTTGCCAACAGCTCAACATGCAGGTTATGTGACAGAAGAGGGCACCCAAATAGTGGAACTTTGAATCCAGTATCACGAACGCTTTAGATTCTAGCTAGCTCCTCAGATATCTATGGAAGCAAGCAGTTGGCACCAGTTGAACAGCCAACTGAGTGGCAGAAGAGGTGGGGCTGGTCAAAAGACAGAGGGAACAGCTGCTACTGTTATGCAATGAGGAAGATGAACTGCCACCCCTTTCCAATGCAAGGGCACACAGAGCAGAGTGTAGGGAAGAGCAATGGAGGTCAGTGAGGCTACTTGTGAGAAAGCAACCCTACTTTCCCAAATGAGACACACTAGGCTGTTCTGAGGAGCTTGGAATTAGGACTGATGTCAGAAAAAATCCTCTGTTACTCCAACTCTTTGTGCCTTGCCTCATTTCACTTTGCCTTGCCTCACCTCATCTCACCTTGGTCCTTTGCCTCATGCTTTTGGGAACTGACCGGTCCATAACCTCGTATATGCCTTCGACTACAGAACCATTTGACCCCTCTTTTTCTGATTTCCTGGAACTTGGAACTCTTTATTTATCCAAGTTGCTAGACAGATGAGAACTTGGTTACTTTACATGCATTGGAACATGGCTTTTTGTTACATGTTTTAGTTATAACAAGTTTGCAACTGCCTCTTGGGTGTGTGCGTGTGCTTGGCCTGAGACAGGACATCTGAGTCATAAGGAGCTTTTTAAGGTTGCATTGTAACTTAAAATGGTAGGTAAGTAATTGGTCATAAGTTGAGGACTAGCTGTAGGATCTACTGTCTGATTTTAAAACTTAAATCTGACTTGACTACCAATAAGTGACAAACTGTGGACTCTTATTTTAGAATGCCATCTATGATTTCTCATATACATTCTATCAACCAATCCTTTCCAATGATCCCAAAGAGTAGTTGGAGTCAAACTTTTTGCATCATGACAGGTCTCCAAACCAATTGCCTGTATTTCTGTCTGTTCCCAATGCTATTCTTTGGACTACAGCAGGGTTCCCCAAACAGGGGTGCTCCCACCCCTGGGGGTGAGAGACAATATTCCAAGTGTGAAACACAGTGCGAAACCGTGGGTTTTCAAAATTATAGTGCATATGCATAATTCGTTGTCATTATTTCGAACCTTTGTAAGGGGTGCAATAATATATCAGAAGCGTTCTAAGGGATTTCTGGTTCCGGGTTGAGGGGCTCCTAGTCACATAAAGAGACTCGTCTCCTCATCGGCTAGCCTCCCTCCACCGGTAGACCCTTATGCGGATCTAAAGGTGCAACTTCTGTCGAAGAGGTTTTGCTTGGCTGTGGAGGAGCGGTGGCTCCTCCAGCTGTCAGGGCCAACTCTGAGGGCTGACGGAGAAGAATATCAGCCAGTAAAATGGCCGATCACCTAGCCGCTAGAAACCGCAAGTCAAAGAACAGCTAAGCTTCACTGTAGTGAATCCGGGTGAGATCTTTTTTTTTTTTTTGTTCTTCTCTTTATACCTTTTTGCTTTTTTCTGCCTGTAAGAGCCCTGTTGGAATTATTTCCCAGGCTTGGAAAGGCAGCTTCTACATGTTTGGGAAGAAAGACGAACAAAAGGATAGAACAAAGCTTTAAAGACTACATTTTTTTCTATATATATTTGTTTTCTGAGGTTTTTGCGGGTGTTTGTATGTAGGTCTTTGGTTATTCGGGTTTTCTCCTGCGTCAAATTGGAAGTGTCTTGGCGACGTTTCAACGAAGTCTCATTCGTCATCTTCAGGCTGGTGTTTTCGGCTTTGTGCTTCTAGGAGCAATGTGTGATCATAGCTGTTTCTTCCTTTTAACTGCCAGTGGGGGTATGAACTGATTGGATGAGAGCTTGGCTGTGTTCTGATTGGATGGAGGTGTGTTCTGATTGGTTAGGAGCTTGGCTGTGCTCTGATTGGATGGGGGGTTGGCTGTGCTCTGATTGGATGGGGGGTTGGCTGTGCTCTGATTGGTTGGGGGATTGTTCTGTTTGGGTGGGGGCTTTGTTGTGCTCAGATTAGACTGAGTTGTATGGGGATGTGAGATGGTGAGCTGCATTGCTATTGTTCGCGTTCATGGTCGTGCCTCATCTTCATAGTGGGTGTCAGTTTGCTTCATGTATGGATTGGAGGGGTTTAAAGTGTCTAATGATGCAGCTGTGGTTGCAATCACAAAACCACAAGCTTGCTGCCAAACACTCGAAACATGATCATGTGACTGCAGGGATGTTGCAACAGCCATAACCACAAGGATTAGTCATAAGCCTCCTCAAACTGTCACAGTTTGTTAAAAACGACTAACTGTATGACGCCTCCTAATCTGAGAGAAAAAGTTTCTGATTCCTGGACTGTGGAAATAATATTTTTGCAAATGTTTTTAGAAAAATTCAACATTTAAAAAAAAATTAATTTTTACATTTTATATAATCATAAATCCAAAATTTACTTAATGGCCTGCTATTGTCCTTTGTATATTCAGATGATAGCAGTAGTTAAGAATTGTTTGAAGCACTTGTAACTGGGGTGTCAACTTTTTTGTGCACATTTGAAAAACAAATGTGAATTTTGATTCATTTACTTAGCTACAATTAAATATAATTAACATAACAAACAAAAAACAAACAAAAAAATCCTCTTCTGTCATATTTCAAGTTATCAAGTTATAACTTGATAAAAATGTTTGAGATCGCCGAGAACCATATTCAGAGTTTTTGTAGCTGTATGTAATGCTATATCCTTAAGTAATGGATCCCAGCCCTACAGACCGAGATATCTTAAGGAATGTCTTTATCCATATTCACATTTATGTAGGAACTTTGTTTCATATTGTTTTTCTATTAGATATGCAGTGATAAATTATAAATGGCAGGACTTTTCAGTTATTATTATTTGTAATATTATTCTCTTTTTGCCAACAATAGTTAAAGCGATCTTAATATATTACATAGTTTGTAACATATGTTTTAAAAAACTGAAAAAATGAATACAGTGTTCATTATTAAGTTTGATATCAAGTGAATTATCTTAAAAACCATTAAGAGCACAAATATTCCTTTCACTTTTGCTAGAAGCTTGGCTCCAGTTTAACCAGAATTCGAATTATTTTTTCACTATTAACAGTTGTAACACATGTTTGAATGAGGTTAGGAAGGAAGTTTAAATCTAATCCTTTTCTCAAGAGAAACTGACATTCTGGGATAATCCTACTTTGAAAATGGCAGGAAAACAGCAAGAAAAGTATTAATATTCTGGATCAGCTAACTATTAAACTGTCTTTCAAAATAGTCACTGTTGCAGTTTGTGATCCTATCAATAAATACAAGGAGTCCTGTTCATTACAATCAGGAATCAAAGCAACATTGATATTATAATACAAATCATAGTTAATGCAATCAAAATATTAATTTTAAAGCTGTAATTAAGTATATTTACCTGCCTTAGAATAAACCCTTTATCTAATGCTATTTAATGGGGTTAAGGAAATACAAGAAAGAGAGTGCAACTTTAGCATCATCTAGATCAATTTAATGACAAATGTATGTATTTGGAAGATCTGTCTTGTATCAATTGGCACACTTGGATCATCTTTAAGGAGTATAAACAGCCTTTATATAGAAGACATGCATTTATATTAATACATTTAATAAATCTATAATTCAATTGAAAAATGGCATCAAGCAGCATTTCTATTTCCAAATAAAGAATGAGGTACAGTGCAGTATATTATGCTATATACTACCTCAATATAGTGGTAAGCATTTAAGAGGGCATAAATGAAACAGAAACAGTATTAATTCATTACAGAAAGGAATACTGACTCCTCATCAGTTTAAATGCCAGGAATTGATACCAATTATATAGATGACATCTACAGTGACATCCTAAATAATTATTCAAAATTGTATCCTGAAAGCTATTAAAACATTAAAAAATAAATTAAATGAATGATAACATTTTCTAATTATTATCAATCTTTTAAACATTTTTAACAAGCCCGGGTAGTTTGATTTAACATTGTTAATACATACAGAAATACAAAGAATGATTAAGATTTACTAATTTTACTGTATCTATTTTTTTCTTTAGCAAATTGAAATAACATGCTCCTTTACCACAAAATCAGTATTTCTTTCACACTTAAAATTCCAACTATACTTGAATATAGATCTAAGAATATTATTTAGTAAGATAAAATAGATAGAATTATATCTGTAATGTTTTCTTAACTTACATAAAGTGTTGACTCACAATTTCCAATGGCATATGCCTTGTATATTTATTTCACTTCATGTCATTGATAGCTTAATTATTAATGATGTCAGTGAAATGTTATCTGCCTTGTATACAAATGAAACTAATATGGGCTTTATCTGAAACCCATCATAGCCAATTAATATATTTATGCTTTAAAAGTCAATTCAATTTGAAATTAAACATAACATAAAGAAGAAATCTAGCAATTGACAAGTGTAAAATGCAAGCATTATTTATACCAGGAGCAAAGCTCAAATTTTATACATCTTTTTCGTGCCACGCAATCAACAGGCTGAGGGAATCATAATTCTGGAAAGAAGTGGTGGCTACCTGTGTCTTGACATGTAAGTGATTAATCTGGTCTTGGGCTAGCTTCTAACTTTGATCTGGCTTCATTGCAACTTGCCATTGAGTTGAGGCATTAGGCTAGGATGAGAATATGAGATGACAGATCACAACAGGCAGTCCTGGAAGGAAAGCCTCCATAATGGACCAAGGTGTGGAATGCCAAGGGCCAACCTGTCATGAAGGCTGGTACAGAAGCAAAATGTCATTATTTCTCTGGAAATAATGTAAGCACTATTATGTCCTCCTCTACCACCTGCAACTAAAGAAGTCCTTATTAACAAAGCGGTAGCACACCCATCCATAGATGACAGGATTCTAACAATGTTAAGAAAATTGCATTAGCTCAAAATCCATTTCTCACAGTTCATGATGAGCACTGAGGTACTAAACATCAATGAACCAGTGCAGAAATTTCAGGATGTAAAGTGAGATATTCTTTTCTTGTCCCTAATCTCTCAACTCTGGCAATATACATAGATATACAATATATACAGCATAATTAAAAACTAAGTGAAATAAAACCAAAAAAGTATCAAATTCAAATCAAATTACTGTCAATAAAACCAAGGCAGTTGTAATTCTAAGGGAACAGTAAATACCAAATTTACTGTTGTAAATAACCACTTTGGAATAAAAGCAATAGGAAGAACTACAGCTTAAAAAACCTAACAATATATAACTAAGTATATCAAGTACAAATCAAGTGATATATAATAGCATTTACTACTACTTTATTTATTTATGCTACAGCAATTATGAAAAGAATCAAAGATATTCCCAATATGCCAAATCTAAAGCGCATTTGTATTTGTATTGTGAAAGGACATGTTTTTCCATGGTAATTTTTTTATATACATTTCAGGAATCAGCCAGTAGATGGCAGTAGAAGTCAACTAATGATACAAAGGGCCTTTTTTTTTTTTTTTTTCCCCCCCCAGTTCCTCCAAATTACTGGAATATTCCTCTGAATATTGGGCAAAATCAAGTTAAAATTAATGTATTCTTTTTGGAAAGGAAAGATTTATTTATTTGCTTAGATCCCACTTCAATCAACAAGTCTTGATGTTGCAGAAATCTGGGTTGGTCACCGGGACTAAAGCTTTTGACTTCCGAGCTTTTGTACTTGTGCTGGAGCCCATCCTCAGGGAACTTCTCTCTAGCTAGTCCAAAAGCTGGGTAGTCAAAACCTCTGCTCGACCCAGATTGGATCCTGCAACATTATTCTCGGACACGTATATTCACCTTCATTTGTATGTCTTGATGTTTGCTATCCTATATAAATTTATCTGGAAGTATGTACCATATTCAATGGTATTTACTCTGATTAGATTTATTAGTTTTCAGTGTTTACTTTTGAATGGATTATGACTATATAATCCTGCATTACAAACATAAATAATAATACAATTGAGCATTATCTATTATCCTTGGCACTCAATATCTATGGAGGTTCTCAGTCATCCAGGCCATAGTTATTAATACTAATGATAATCCACACAGGTCTCTTACTATGCTAATATTTAGCTTTCTAACTTCTGCTATAAAGTACCAATTTTTATTAAAAAAGAAAAATTATCATTAGGAATCAACAAACGAACATACAGTAATATAAACTTACATTTCATTTATATAACATACATCATTAACACCAATGCTTATCAAGGTGTTCAAAATAAAAATAAAATTATGTAATGCAATGCAATGAAATGAAATGTTGGAAAGAAATAGTCAATTGCTGCTTAATCAGAGAACTCTAAATAATAGTTATATCTGCATTAAACCATATTAAAATGTTTCTAAAAATGTTTAAACATTTTAGATTACATACAACCTTACTAACAATACAATACACAGTACAAAACTAGTTTGCATATTACAAAACACTGAAGAGTGGGAGAGGTTCTACATAGCTGAGCCCTACACTATTGAAGAAATTCTGTTCCTAAGAACCATATGGGATGATTGAAAATCATAATTACTGCAAGAGTAATATAAGCTGAGCCACAAGTCATGTGAAGTAAAAATCATATTTTCCGCTGATTTTATAGAGCCCCATCTAAAACAGGCACGTGGATTTCATGATAAAAAAGCATCAGCCTTCACATATATCAGTTATTCCAAGATACTTAAATTTTTGTCATGATGCTAAAATCCAAACTAAAATTGTGTTAGGGGCAAAAGTATTTTGCCTTAACTCTCAAGCAAATTATCCAAGTGAGTGTCTAAGAAAATAAATTCAAAACAGATGTAGATGCACCATGCAAAATGTGTCTGTTAGGACAAATTATAAATTTACCAAAGATAGCTGTATCATATAAGAACTAAACTTCACCACAGCCAATGTTAGTTTCAAGCTGTTGGTTTTTTTCCCCCAGGGCTGAATTTTTTGATAGTTGATTTGTGAATAGTGTAATATTCCATACCTTCCAACATTTTACTGTGAAATATTCAGAAACAGTAAATATTTAGAATTTTTTCCAATTGTGTCGCTGTACTAGTAGAATGGCATTTTTCAATAAAACAGAATTATTCTTTTCCTCTCAAACTTTCTGAACAGATTTGAATTGGCAAAGGATAAGAAAAAAAGAGAAAATTCTGCTTTACAAGTACAAATCTATCCAAGTAATTTTGGAATCTATCCATATTTATAAAACTACCTACTTTATAATAATCAGCTATTACTACTACTACTACTACTACTACTAATAATAATAATAATAATAATAATAATAATAATAATAATAATAATAATAATGTTGGAAGGGACCTTTGAGGTCATCTAATTCTAGTCCAACCCCCTGCTCAGGCAGGAAACCCTATACCATTTCAGACAAATGGCTGTTCAGTCTCTTCTTAAAAACTTCCAGTGTTGGAGCATTCACCGCTTCTGGAAGCAGGTTGTTCCACTGATTAATTGTTCTGTCCAGAAATTTCTCTTATAGATATAAATCTAACTTTAATCCATAACTAATTTCAAAAGAAATATTCAGGTTTAGATAAAAATATTAACTATATTTCTTATATAGTCCATGAACTCCACTGCACAATTTAATGACTTTGCTGGGGAAGGGTTCTTTTAAGATGTTACCTATATCAAAGGTGCTGGTCATGTTCTCTACCATCGTTCATACTCTGTGTTCTATTTACAATCAGCAGAAATTCTACAAAGTAGATGAAAAGGGGGAGGAAAAAGAAATTATTTCTTTGCTTCCAGTCCATACATTTTAATGATAATGTCCACTTACGTATTATGAACTTTGATTCTACTGGCAAGGTATGATTAATTCAACAAATCCATAAGAAACATGCTTATTTTAACATATGATACAGTAGTGGAATAGGGATGTGATGGCTTTCCTCGTCAGCTGGAAAGCTGAAACCCAGAGTTTCAGACCCGACCACTGCACGATGGGATAAGCTCCAATTCCTTGCCCCAGCTCCTGCCCATCTAGCAGTTTGAAAGTAGGCAAATACGAATAGATAAATAGGTACCATTTTGGCCACATGACCATAGAAATGTCTTCAGATAACCCTAAAGTAATTCTAATGTTATGTCCTTGACAAATCAAATCTATTCTCTTTCTAATATTAATGATAGTGAAGGACCACCAAAACATACAATGTTTCTAGTATTGTAAAATAGCCCTAGTGAACTTAATTTTTTTCTCTAAATTAAAAGTGAAACTTTATACTAAAGATAAAATATGACTATGGACTGGGATTTGAATAAGTATGGTCTAACTGATTGTATTTCTCTACTGTTAAATGTGCCAAAATTTATTACTTACCACTAAAGCATTCATAGTACAAATAATTAAACAACAATAAACAATAAAATCTAAACATTATGGTACTAAAAGATAAAATGCTAACAAACCATTATTATAGGAACAACAAGGATGTTAGTTAGTCACTATATGCTCTTGCATAAAATTTGAATGACAGTATGAAAGAGTTGACAGTGTACATCAATCAACAGCCAGGAACAGAATGTAATTTATTATTTTCTTTGTTGTAAAATTATCAGGTAACTTCATATATGATACTCATTATTTATGTATTACTTAAATTTGTTATAGCCACTCAAAGTTTGGCATAGAATCCTTTATATATCGAAAAACTTGGGATTTATTAACATAGAATTTATTTCTATTATTTCAATTTATATTTGAAAGGGGAAGAATAACTTCAACCAAAGCTGGGTTTGGACTATATCACATAATCTGGATCCACACAACTATATGAATAATTCTATTAATCAAACAAAGCTTAATGGGGCTTGTATTTTTGGAAATGAGTGTCACAATAGATGGCAGTTAAGATTAGAAGAAAAGGAGTGAAAAATGTCTATGAACAAACTAGTTCCTTTCCTGTAAAATATTTTAATAAAGAAACCATTTTTATTTATCAAATTCAAAATGTATACCATTTTTTCTCTACAGAACAGGGCTCTGCTGTTATATAAGTGATGAATAATTTTTCAACATCAAGAACCATAAATAGGTATTGTGGAATATGATAGGGACTACATGTAGGAAGGCAAGAGGGAATGTTGGTGTTGAAAGAGCAGAGGGAGAAAACACTTTTTAAAAAAAATTCTTCTATTTTACTCGACCTTAAATTAATCAGGTTTAATTTTTCTTAACCATCTAAAATCATTTAAAATTAATGCCACTGATGAAGAAGGTACGGACTTCATTCAAAAACTGGAGGAGAGAGCAACCCTGGGATAAATTGTTTATCTACCATTTTGTTAGATTGAAAGTAGTTGCATGATCATTCAGTGACATTCAGTATACCAACTTTCTATTCTCTAGCCTACAATTGGCTACAGTTCATTGTTTAAATTTTTCACAAAATTTTAAAAATTTGTTTCAGTAATATTTCAATAGTTATTTCAATTGTTTGTATTTTTTTTACTGATTGAGTGTTTTAAGGATTTTATTTTATATTTGGGGATGATTTGGGAAAAGGGGTATATCTTACCAATCAGAAAGGCATGATTATTCCTGTTGCTCAAATCATTCTGAGCTTTTTGTTGGCACATGATGGCTTGCATACTAGCTATTATTACACCTATTCTATAAGCCCTGTAAGGCAAACCAGACTAAGAAACCAATTCTATACTGGTCTAAAACTACTTTTATTGGAACAACTACAGTAACATAATAGCTGTTTATTTATTCAATTTCTATAACTACCCAACACAACCAAATGACTCTAGGCAGCTTACAATTCTAAAATTATAAAACAATTAAAACAATTTTAAAAGCATTAAAACAATAAAAATATCCACAAAATAAATAAATACAAACAGCAGCCATGATGATTAATCAACTAATAATAAAGCCAAGAGGGCCCTTAACATATCCTGAGCCCCAGGCCTGGGTACATAGCCAGGTTTTTAAAGCTTTAAAGGTAACAACCAATATCTTGAATTGCACCTAGGAACACAGCGGCAGCCAGTACAACTTACATAGTAGTAGTGTTATACAGACCGTGTTGCTGGCACCATCTATTATTCATAAAGCCACATTTTTCACCAATTAATGTTTCTGAATGCTTTTCAAGGATAGCCCTATAGAACATGTAACAATAATCTAAGTGGGAATTTAAAAGGGCATGGGTGGTGATGATGTGCAGGGCCTCCTGGCACAAACTGATACACTAACCAAAGGTGTGCAAAAGCTCTCATAGCCACAGCTGCCCCCTGCTCTTCAAGTAGGAGCTATGAATTTTCGAGGACCTCCAGATTGTGCACCCTGTCTGGAGTAGTGCCATCACATCCAGAACTAGAGATGGAAGAATCTTGTCTGTGGAAGGCCCAAATACCATCAGTCCATCTTGCTTGGGTTCAGTCAGAGCCCATTTTGCCCCATCCAGACCCAAATAGCCTCCAGAGGCTGGGTAGGATGTCCACAGCATCAGTCAAGGAGAGTGGAGTAGAGATATAACGCTGGGTATCATCCGTATATTGATATCTCACCCCAGACCAATGAATCATCTCACACAGTGGCCTCATATAGATATTAAATAGGAAAGAAGATAGAACCAAGTCCTGAAGAACCCCATAAAGTAGGAGGTGTGGCCGAATCTCTTCCTGTCCATCAACACTGACTGAAACCAATTCCAGAGGAAGAAGAAATAGTACAACACCTACTCCCAACTCTTAGAGTCAGACCAGAAGGATACCATGATCAATGTATCAAATGCTGCTGTCAAGAGCCAGGATAGATGTACTATCTCATCCTGCCCCTGCCAGAGATCATCCATGAGTACCATCAAAGCCATCTCAGTCCCAAACCCTGGCCTAAACCCCGACTGAAAGTGTCTAACAATCTGTTTCATACAAGGTCCTCTGCAACTAGCACATGAGCACTCTGTCCACAGTCTTCTCTAAGAACAAAAGATTAGAAACTGGGTGAAAACTGTCCAGCTTGGTTGGGTTGAGCAATGGTCGTTTGAGGACTGGGCACACCACCATCTCTTTAAGAGCTGGTGAGACTACTCTTTCAAGGAAGAATTAACTACCACCCAGACCACAATTCATCCCCTCCCATGCAGCTTTAATAAGTCAGGAAGGGCATGGATCTAATACACAAGTGGCTGAACTAGGAGCTAAGAATGCCTTATCCACTTCCTCAGGTTCTTCTGAATGTGTTTTTCCCTCCCTACATTTTCTTCCTTTGAATTAGGGAGGAGTTTGTCTGAGATGCTTTTTCAAATTAGTTTCTGGGAAAGGACTGGAGCATAACTAGCAGAAATTCCTCCTGTCCTTCAAAGCCATTCCCTATGCCCTATTCCATGTAGCCTGGTGGGCGGATGGAGCTGGATCCTTTAAAATTGGAGCTTGGGCTGGCTCAATCAGAGGCGTCATCATCCTGATTTATCTGTCCATCTTCTCACTGGTGGCTAACTGTTATTGCTGAACCAACTGAGAGAAAGCTCAGGTTTTAAGATGTAGCTTTCCTGTACCCAATACATATTGTCTTAATTCCCAAAAGGATTCTCTCTGATATTCTTTTCATGGATCAATTACTTGCACATTGAGGGTTGCCAACTAATTATTTGTTTTTCATTAAATTTATATGCCACACATCTTGCTATCCAGATAGGCAGCTTACAAATTAGACCTCTTCTTCATCTCATGTTGGTGCCAGTACGGCAAATACCTTTGTAGACAGAAAGATGGGAAGCTGACTAGAGAGTATCAGAAAACAAACACTGGACTCTCCAAGATGTAGAGAATCTGCTAAAGTTTATCCCTCCACATCCCTTGAACATTCAGGGATAGCAGTTGAAAACAAAACAAATTCAACAACTTAAAGGAGCACTGAAAATAAAATATCAAACCAAGGAAGTAAATGGATTTGACAGCAACAATTTGAGGCTTGTTCTCCTGCTTTCACACCAACAGACTCAATAAGATTTGCTATGAGCATATAAACAACTTACTCAGTACAGTAGTTTCTGGACACTTCCTTTCTTCTGATTTCCAGCATAAGGAAATCAGACTTTATGCTCAGCAGGCAATGAGTGTGCAGGGATTCATGCTGTTCTTTTGTAGCTTACTATCAAGGTGGCCAATGTTTTCCTTTTACCATGAAGTATTATTAGTAATTATAATGAAAACTAGATTAAATTTAGGTAAATTCTTGAAAATATGAATACCTGATTTAAGAAGTATCAATTTACATAATAGCCAATTCTTACATGAATCATATGCAATGAGGCAGAATTTAAAAAAATATTTAAAATTATGTTTACCTTTTCTAATGCAAATTAGTTCATGTACACCACAAGTTCTCTCTCCACCTGTTGAAAAAATATTGAGAAATAGAGGAACTATATAAAATAGATTACAATATTTATACTCTTATTGAAATCTATACTCAGACATCAACAATTACTTCATAACTTTTAAAAATAATTTAGAAAACTCAAAAATTCAAAATATAGTAGTTATTGATTCCATATCTAAAGACATTTTATATGAATTATATATGTATAAATATATACTGCTCAAAAAAATAAAGGGAATGCATCCTATAGGATTTATTATAGGATGTGTTCCCTTTATTTTTTTGAGCAGTATATATAAATTGGACCAATCTGTTTCCTAAGTAAGCATTATGCAGCTTAAGTAAACATTTACAGTATAGAGAGCATTTTGCTGTGCAAGAAAAAGTTCCTAGCTAATCAAAATAAGTTGTTCAATGTAAGTTAGTCAAAGAAAATAAATAAATCTGAGGATCTGCTAATGCTAGTCTTACTTTGGTATAGATATTATTTTAACTGAACCTGTCACATTTCCTCCTTTAATTGCTTAAATATACACAGAAAACAAGAGAAGTTGGATATAGGATATGGAGAAAGAACAGCAGGAATATCATTAGTGTTGACGCCATTTGGATTTTGAAATATTAACATATCAAATTTAAGCAATCTTTTCACATTTCTGCTTTAATAGAGGAATCATACAAATATTAATAACAATTAGCAATTGTTAACAATACACAAATATTGATAAAACAGCTATACCCATAAGTTGTTTAAACTGTAGAGGAATTGCCAGCAAACATTCTACAAGAATATGGCTTAGAGCTCCCACATTTTTGGTTTACAGTATGCTTAGTATCTCAGTAATTTTTTTTGTGGCAATCCTAGACCCCTTGCTTAACAGCTGTAGCAAACATGTAACAGAATCAGGCGCGGTCATGGAGTGATTCACCATATGAGCATCAAGGCTTACAACTGAAATTGCAGGCTCAATTATGATTGTAAGTTGAGTACTACCTGCTTACTAAACTGCTTATTCAGGCTACAATAAGAAATTAAAATGACCAATCTGGATAATGTAAACTTGGAATAGCAGTATAAAATACAAATATTATACAAATATATACAGTACTGTACATATAAGCATATAGAGTACATACACACACATACTCAGACAGATATATACACACACATGCATATTCATAAATAAAACAATAAAATAATACAGAAGAGATATAACAGAGATATAATAAGAGTTATAAATTTCTAATTACAAACTCCTGTCAAACCTGAGAAAAATGGAGTGCAATAGCTGATATAGCATGTTCACTTCAAAATCAGTGTTTAACGCTGAGCCTGAGCCACTTCTGGCTATCCATATTCCAGCAGATGCAATTGTGCTTAATTATTCTTTGCCTGATTTTTCAAGCTGCCATGCAAAACCTGATCAAGTTTCAAAATTGGCAATAGAGAAGAAAACGTTCAATAGTTTCTACCTATCCTGAATCACTTGTAATGAGTACGGGAACTTTTTGTATCTTCCAGCCAGTGCTGAAGGGAGGGCTGTTTGTCTGCAGGACTGTCTCTCCCCAATTATAGCTACCTACTATAACCTCAGGCCATATCATTATGGTATCTTATGGGACTTCGGAGATACATTTTTTCTGTTTGCTTCTGTCCTGTAGGATATTGTTCCTTTGTTTTAAATTTGTTCTTTATTATATATTATGTTACATTATATTATGCTGTCATTTAAGAAAGTCCTTAAAATATTGATTTTTTTGCTCTGTGACCTTGTATTGATACTGGGCTTTCCCAATAAAGTAATATATATTGAATTGGTTGTTAATTAGTTCAACAGATAAATAAGATCCATTTATTGGAAGAAACTGAGATTACATCCCAATACATAAATAAAAAATAACATTTAATGTTTTGAACACCTTGTTATTTTCTTAGGAAGTAATATAAGTAATATTACTCAGGAAGTAATGAAATCTTAGCATAGCAGCACCTTGCTGATTTTGTCTGGGCTACTAAACAGAGTCAGGGCCAGTTGGTAGTCAAATGGGAGATCATCAGAGAAATCATGGCCATAGGCTATATATTGTCAAGTAAACAAAAATATCCAAAAAGAAGGCAATGACAAATTATTTCCATACTTCGCCAAAAAAACAGCAAGAGTATCCTTACATAATCAACAGGAATTAAGTTCAACTAGAAGTGTCTTAATATAATAGAATTTAATGGAGTGGAATTTAATAACCACAAGAGTAAATGCACAAAGCTGATAGATATGCCAGCACCAAATAACACAAATCAAAAAAACTGAAAAACTATCACATATAACAATTATAACCATCCTACTATGGCACTAAACATGGCACTAGAGGTTTAATTACTGAGCTGGGAAAAGGAAATGCAGCTTTATGTAACATTTTTTTTACTAAGCTACAAGGGTTGCTAAATTATTAATCTTAGTTGTATCTGTGCTGCATGTGGCATTCCATGTCAATGGTAAGGTCAATGCTGGTCAGTTTCTGTATTCAACTCATATATCACAATGCAACCTAATCCAAGCTCTGCCCCAAGCATTCTCATGCTGTCCTTTACAAGCCACAATCAATAAACATTGTTGCCCATTTCAGCCAGGAGGTACATACAATATACTAGCATTACATTAAAATACATCCATAAAAATATATTAAGGAAAATAATGCAGACAGTAATAGCTGTTACTTAAATTGATCAAGCATTGTTATTTTTAATGCTAACTAATGTAAAGATTTATTATATAATTCCAAACAACTAATCTTTGTCACAAATCAGAGAGAGCCAAGTAATATGCTAAACGTTTCTATAGTTGAGCAAATTGGATAAATAAACAAATTCTCATTTGTCAACAGATCAAAGGGGTCTAAGGGGCTGCCACAAAGAAGAGGTCAACGTATTCTTCAAAGCCCCTGAAAGCAAGATAAGAAGCAACAGATGGAAACTAATCAAGGAGAGAAGCAACCTAGAACTAAGGAGAAATTTCCAGATAGTTAATCAGCGGAACAACTTGCCTCCAAAAGTTGTGAATGCTCCAACACTGCAAGTTTTTAAGAAGAGACTGGACAATCATTTCTTTGAAAAGGTATAGGGTTTCCTGCCTGAGCAGGGGGTTGGACTAGGGGCCCTTCCAACTCTGTTATTGTTATTCAAAGAAACTACAGAAGCTATATCAAAATCCCATGCTATTATATGAATATTAAAAATCTCCAGTATAGAGTCTATTGTAAGCATAATGCACACACTAAGGTTCATAGGCCTGATTCAGGTTATGATCTGCTGCATTTTGATGGGATTATTAAATATATCAACAGAGTACACAGTTGCAGCATGCTACTATAATATATAAGATGGAATACTATATTAATTGTACCTAATCACATTTTTAAAAAATAAAAACAAGACCAACGTGACTCCCCCCCCAAAAAACCCAGAACATTTTCACACAAACTCAGCATTGGGTAAGAATTGGCTATCTGAAGGACCTCTTATCTCCATTCAACTTTGCCTGTAAAATTCAGCCCAGCAAGCTAGATGCGCACAAGTGTCATCAGTTAAAAACTGTCATTTGCCTGGACACAGGAGTTGCATCCAATCTGTTGCAATTCCTGCCCTTTGGAATGAGCTCCTCTCAGAAATTCACTTGACTCCTCCCCCTTGAATTGTTTTAAGAAAATCAGTAAAGACCAGGTCTTAGGACACAGTGACTGTGGAGCCCCGGTTTTTTAATGTGGAATTTTTCTCTATAACTTGATTGAATTTCTGTACTTCGATTTTTTAATTGTAAGCCATCCAGTGTCATTTGGGGTTGGACAGCCTATTAAACATAATTAAGTAAATTAAAATTAAATTAAAATATCAAAATCAAATAAGTTGCTGCATTTTTCTTGAAGATATTGATGACAGTTTTCAACCTATTGATAGTTTTTATTTCTGTTTTCTGGCTTCTTAAGGCATCAACAAATTAATTATTCAAATTCTGCACAGGTCCAAAAGTATATTTCAAAAATTGGATAATAAATACAGATCAATGGCCTATGGAAAAGCAGATGATGCTTGATTTCCTTGTAAATATTTAGCTTTGAATCACTTGTTAAAAACTTTCACTCAAACAAATGCTGTGTCCTTTTAATGAGAAGCTTTTATTTATGATTTCCATTTTTTCTCAATCCGCCTCAAATTTATGTAGAATGGAAAGAGAAACAGATTCTGAAAACTTAGCCACACTTCTGGAAGACAGGCATAAATAAATGAATAAAGAGGAGAAAAGGGGGTTTGAATATTGTTTTCACACATCACAAAGCCTTCTTGAGTCCTTATTTACCCTAGACTTTTAATCCAGCAAAATAAGGATTTACAATAAAGAGGAAGGAAGGAAGGAGGGGAAGGGGGAGGCAAGGGAAGGGAAGGGGAGAAAGAAAGAAAGAAAGAAAGAAAGAAAGAAAGAAAGAAAGAAAGAAAGAAAGAAAGAAAGAAAGAAAGAAAGAAAGAAAGAAAGAATCTTCTTTACCCAATTATTTTCTGTGCATCTTTAGTCAAAAAAATGCCTGTGGCTTAGGGCTGTAAGGTTGTTATAACTCCCAAAGAAAATGCGAAAGAACGGATAGTGACCATTGGACACTACTATTCCAGAGATTAATTTTATCTGTAGCTTAAAAAAAAAAATCACCTCTGAAAATAAGCACATATTTAGCCAGACCATTGATAAAATTCCGCCCCGACTCAAACAAAATGATTAGCGTCCTTACATACAATTACATCGGGATGTTGGGGGGGGGGGGAAGAGCGCTGATTCTCGCTTTCTGCAATTATGACAGTGGCAGCGCCAGCCTTACGGGGGGGGGGGAGAAATAACGAAGCGCCTCCTTCCCCCCCTCGCTCCCCAAGCTCTCTGCTTAAGAGCCCAGGAACACATATCAACCGCGCCCTTTTTGTTTATTTGTCGTCTGCCCCCCCCCGCTTCCCCTGAGGGAGCACCCCTTCGCGCGGGGTCGCCCCTCCCCGCGCCCGCTGCCCAGGTGAAGAGGGGGTTATTCCAGAAAAGAGGAGCCCGTTATTGGCCTACTTACCATCAATCGCCATGATCTTCCAGGTGGGCCGTACCAAGTGGAACGCACGTAGGAGGCGCACACTGTCAGGCACAGGCTGGAAGAAGCGGCGGCAGCGGCGGCGGCGGCGGGAGAGAAAGCTTCAAAAGGTGGGGGCAAGAGGCAGCCCGGGTGATAGCAAAGTGGAAACGAAGCGCGCGCGCGGTTGGGGGAGGTGTAAAACTGAGTGGCGCGTGCCGGACCGATGAAGCTGCGCGTGACTCCTCCTCCCTTTCGCTGTCTCCCTTTTTCTTAGCTCCGCGCGCCCAGATTCGAAAGTATCGCTGCTCCGTTGTTTTCTTGTTTTTCTGTCCGCGCGCGGCGGGGCCTTTGGTGCGGCCTCCCGAACTAACGGTCCTCATCGGCGCGGCTGCGCCCGCGCCAAGACTTTTACTTTCCCACGCCATTCTCCTTCAGTCAAGCGGCTCGGCAGTAAGGATGCTGCAGCCACTCCGCGCGAGCCAAACTCTTGCCTTCCAGCCTTGCATCTGATGCGCTTTGCCTCAGATTTCGCGAACGCAAATCTCCTCCTCTACGCCTCCTTCATTTAAGGAAAGGGGCAACAGGCAAATACCGATAACGTCAAAGAAAGCGATGGTTGAAACACTGTTAATTTTTGGAAAAAATGTTTGCATACACTTTAAGAAACAGCATATACATTTTATAAAACTATTATTGACATACATAGTAAGAGTTAGAATTATGAGCATGCCCTCTTCCTCAGCCCTGTAACTACTCAAGAATCAAGATTTTAAAACGTGTAAAATACCTACTAACTGAATACCCATAGGATCCACCAGATTTTCAAATGTTATGTGGTAATTTTTTTTCCAGTCCCAGCGGCCTATATGGAACTTTACAATTTATAATCAGCAAGGCTAATACACTGAAGGTTTTACAGAATAAAATTCAGCAAAAGGTTGAGGATCTAAATGTTGGCAAAATGGAATGTATTTCTTAAAAATACATTTACAATGCAAGATGCATATTTAAAATTTGTTAGCATTAAGATATAATGAGTCTATGTTACAACTGTAGTTCCTTAAAAAGATAAGAGTAATATTCTAGGATCAGCCTACAGCTAACAACATTCTTTGCAATAATCCCATTTAAGGACACAATGGGTAATCAACAGAAATTATGCAACATCTATTTTTTGCTCCAAGTGATAGCCAACATTATGTTCAAATCTTTGCCTACCTTCTGAACAAACATTAAAATGGTGTCATCAGAAGCTGTTGAAGCAAATTAGAATTAAAATGTACTCCCACATTTAGCTTACCTCTTACATACACAGGGATCATTTTGTGATGGCCAATATTTGTTAAGTGGTTCTGAGTCTTTGTGACTTCATAGATACCCTTTTCCCAGGACTATCAGCAACTTTATTTAGTATTTTTATAGTATATACAATTTTTATAATATATATTTGTAAGTTTATCCTTGTGTCTTCACTGATAGCATCCAGCCAACTTGTTTTCTTGACAGCCTCTTTTTCAATTGCTTTTTATTTATTTTTTTAGACATTAGAGTCTTTTCCAATGATTCTTGCCTTCACATTATATGTTGAAAATACATAACCTTTAGTTTCACTGCACTACCGGTATTTGTGTTTTTGGTCAATTTTCTGATGTCACTGAAAGATGTGTTCTACGTGTCCAAACTATTTTCTCCAACATCATTATTCAAAGTTATTCATTTTTTTCTTTTCTTTCTTTATTTTTTTTTCTTTTATTTATTATAACTGAGAAAACAAGTCATGGAGAAATATACCTTAGTTGTCAAGGTGATGGCTCTGTGCTTTTAATATTTTGTCTTATTTTGTCATAGTTTTCTCTCAAGTTGCAAGTATTTCTGTGAACTTTTTAGCCTCAGAAGATAAAGTCTATTGTTAGTTTAGCTCCATATCTATTTGCATTGGGTTGACATTGCATGTTGGCATAATCTTTTTGGGAAAAAAGTATATTGAGCAGCAGATTGGCTTTTACATACTACTCCTGCACTTTTAACAAAAGGTTCCATAAGTATTTTTTACTTTGAGCCTTCAAATTGAATCGTAGGAATATTTGAAATTGTTGTTTCTCCAAGCAATTTTATAATGTGTATAAATTAAATAAAGTGATAGCATATAACTTCAGTGTGCTCGTTTCCCAATTTTGAATCATTTAGTTGTTCAACATTCCATTCTACCTGCTGCTTTTTGGACATCTAATTCTTCAAACAGGTAAATAAGGTAACTAGTATAGCCATGTTTTAAAGGCTACTTACAATTTGTTGTGGATCTCATAGCCAAAATCAATAAAGAAAATGGAACTTTGGAACTCAGTTGCCTTCTCCATTATTCATCAGACAAAGTGTGTCCATTGGAGAAGGAAGGGCAACCCTTCTAGTGTTCTGCCAAGGAATTAAATGACTATTCATAACCAGGCCAACAGTAGGTTTCCACAGTAAATGCTAGAATGGTAGAAACCTTCAGTTTCAAAAAGATATTGCCAAAATATTGACAGAGGCTAGTCCCTCCTCCTTGGTCCCGTCAGCTGGACTAATCGGGCTGAGGGTGCCCACAGCATGCCTCCTCTGCCAGCATGGGTGGGGCAGGTCAGTCCCAGTGTGATGAGACAGTGCCTCAAGTAGCCTGGACCCATGCCATGAAGGGCTTTAAAGGTGATTACCAACATCTTCAATTGCCCCTGAAAGCAGACCAACAGCCAATGCAATTCACGGAGCAGTGGTGTTATATTCTTGAGGTCACAAAAATTGCCCACATTGCCACACTCTGTATCTGTTGTAGCTTCCAAATTCTCAAGGGTAATTCCATGTAAAACGCATTGCAGTAGTCCAACTGCAAAACGACTGGGGCCTGAATGACTGACACTTCGCCCTTTTCTTGTTCATGTCTATTTAATTTGGGAAACATTAAAATTAATTCCAAAAATTATATATAAGAAACACACAATTTCTGACCTTCCAAACTAATTGCAGCTTAATAGTAAGCAGTATCATGCTAGCCTTAGCACTAGGCTTATTGAGCCCCCAGAACTGTTTCATCATTAGTGGAGTGCATTCAACTTAATGCATAACAAGCCTGTTTGAGGTTTAAAGAAAGATGGAGAAATGATAAGTTCCCCAGAGGCTTTCCATTGATTACTCTGTGTTATTAAATTGGTTAGTTCATTAATTCATCACTTTTATGCACATTATTTTTTGCAAACTGAGTAAGATTAACACTGCAGTTATAGGCTAAAGTGGGAATTGAAAAACATCTTATAAAAAAGTAATAGTAAACTACTTGTGTATTGTTACACAAGTAGGCTAAATAGTCTCCCAGATTCAAACTGAATTTAAGAGAGACTTTACATTTATGTCAATGTATGACACGGGAACATTTTTAAAAAAATTGTAACTAAGACAACACTTGGATTTCTAAAGCCACCCTCTATCTGTTAACATGAGTATTGTTGTAAATAAAATACATTGTCATTTTTTACTGTGAGCACACATTAAAAGCAAAATTCTGTTGCCCAATAATTTAAAGAAATATTTTAAACTTAAAGATAGTATTTAGCAGTCTCACTGAGAAGCTGAGTCAAATGGATTGTGATAAATTTTGTGTTTAAAATCTGATTTACAAACCTCTCCAAAATCTTGCTCAGAAATCATTAGTCTAATAATATAAGAACAAAAAAAAATAGATATTGCAATTTATTGCAAAACTGGATTCACAAATAGATATTTCTTGAAAGAAGCATTTTTTTCTAATAATTCTTCTTAAAACCTGGTACTCAAGAGCTTGACCCTAAAAAAAAAAAAACTTTAACATTTAAGAATGTTACAGTATATCTTGTAAGGAATCTTTTCATTCCATAAGTTGCCTAGAAAGTTATATTATTATTTATTATTTATAATCTTTTTGCCTTTTTGCACTATATTTATTTTCTAGAAGACAACTAGGGTGGCATTGACAGCTTAGCTCACAAATAAATGTTTTGTTTTTCCCAAAAAGTAATTATTGTTTTCAACCTTTGAAAATTCTATTAAGGAGTTTGTCCTTTTAACAAGATTTTCCTTTACACTTAAATATTCTCCTTTTGATAACCAAAAAGAAAAAAATAGCTGAACTCAACATTTTCCAATCTTTATAATATAAAGTGTGTTTGTTTGTGGGCGGGTGAATATATTCACATATTTCTCCAGCTTTTATAGAGAATTTCTCATAGCATTTGAGTGCCATGCTGTAGTTGTGGGAGGAAACATATTATTGTAGCTCTATAGGGGAGGGATTATGGTGCCTAAAAGTAAAGGCTCACTGTGAGGCTCTATTTCCATCCCACTGTAACTCTTTATTTAAGCATAGAGAGGAAAAAGTATTAAATATTAGTAAGAGGAGTTCTGTCTTTACATCCCACTGAGCATGTAAAGAAAAGTAGAATTGTTTAATCAGCATGCAAAGAAAAGCATTATTTTTAAATCAACAAAAATACACTCAATTTTTTCAGTCTTTAAACTGATGGTTCCAAGACAGCAGAGAAATCAATATTAAAACTGCAATTTATCAAAGTGATCCTAAACAATGTAAGTGAACAGAACAGAACAGAATGAATAGAATAGAATGACAGAGTTGGAAGGGACCTTGGAGATCTTCTAGTCCAACCCCCTGCTCAGGCAGGAAGCCCTATACCATTTCAGACAAATGGATGTCCAGTCTCTTCTTAAAAACTTCCAGTGTTAGAGCATTCACTGCTTCTGGAGGCACGTGTTCCACTGGTTAATTGTTCTAACTGTCAGGAAGTTTCTCCTTAGTTCTAGGTTGCTTCTCTCCTTGATTAGTTTCCATCCGTTGCTTCTTGTCTGCCTTGAGGCGCCTTGGAAAATAGCTTGACTCCCTCTTCTTTGTGGCAGCCCCTGAGATATTGGAATACTGCTATCATGTCCCCCCTCGTCCTTCTCTTCATTAAACTAGACATACGCAATTCCAGCAACTGTTCCTTATACGTTTAGCCTCCAGTCCCCTAATCATCTTTGTTGCTCTTCTCTGTACTCTTTCTAGAGTCTCAACATCTTTTTTGCATTGTGGTGACCAAAACTGGATGCAGTATTCCAAGTGTGGCCTTACCAAGGCATTGTAAAGTGGTATTAATGCTTCATGTGATCTTGATTCTATCCCTTTGTTAATGCAGCCCAGCACTATGTTAGCGTTTTTGGCAGCTGCAGCACACTGCTGGCTCATATTCAAATGATTGTCCACTAGGACTCCAAGGTCCTTCCCACAGTTACTACTATTGAGCAAGGTACCCCCTATACTATACCTGTACATTTGGTTTTTCTTGCCTAAATGTAGAACCTTACTTTTTTCACCATTGAATTTCATTTTGTTAGATAGCGCCCAGTGTTCAAGTCTGTCCAGATTCTCCTGTATCCTAAGCCTGTCTTCTGAAGTGTTGGCTATTCCTGCCAGCTTGGTGTCATCTGCAAATATGATGATTTCCCCTCTATCTCCTCGTCCAAATAGTTGATGAAGATGTTGAAGAGCGCTGGGCCCAGAACAGAGCCCTGGGGCACCCCACTACACACTTCCCTCCATGTAGATGCGGTTCCCATGAGGACCACAGGCTGAGTACGGCCAGTCAGCCAGCTACGGATCCATCTGGTGGTGATGCTGTCTAACCCACATTTTTCTATCTTATCAAGTAGTAGGTTGTGATCTACTTTATCAAATGCCTTACTGAAGTCCAAGTAAATTATATCCACAGCATTCCTCTGATCCACTAATTTTGTCATTTGGTCAAAGAATGCAATAAGATTTGTCTGGTATGATCTGTTTTTGACAAACCCATGTTGGCTTTTAGTAATGACTTTGTTTGCCTCTAGGTGTTTGCTGATTCGTTGTTTGATTATCTTTTCCAGAATCTTCCCAGGTATCGAGGTCAGGGTGATAGGTCTGTAATTTCCTGGGTCCATTTTTTTTCCTTTTTTGAAGATGGGAACTACATCAGCTCTTTTCCAGTCCTCTGGTAGTTCCCCAGTGCTCCAGAAT